GGTATTTATCACTATCATATTTTATCCTTATAGACTCAACCTTATAGAATATAAGTTACTTGAAGACAGGGAGTTTTGTTTCCTGCTAATATCAGTGATTAGAATAGTTTCTGACTGGTAGAATGAGTGAATGCATTTTATCTGTCCAAAGTAGAAAGTTACTGCAGCGTATACACTCAGAGACTAATAGTTCACATACTCAAGTAAACATGTTATTCCATTTATGGCACCAAATTCCTTATTCCTGTAAGTCTCTACCCTAGCACCCTGAACATTTGTCATAAATTCTCACGCTATATTTTGTTTCATTCACTTTGTGAGTTTTAGGCAACATGTGCCAAACAGCTCTAACCCATCTGTGAAGGATGATGCTTTTTGCAGCTTTTCTCAGCTACAAAATGTTAAATTCAAGATTCCCTCTCAAATGCTCCATTCTACTCTCAATACAAATATTAATCTTATTGGTCAGGTCAGACAGTTTTTATTTGTGAAGGACAGACCTCCTGGAAGTTAGTGGCTGAAACAACTAGGTGGTTTACCATTCTCACTTAACAGGAAGCCCAGAGATGCAGGTTGGGATGGGACGGGTCCCCTGGGCAGTCCTCTGCATGCTCCACCTCCCTTAGGACTCAGCACTCTCTCTCCCTACAGCAGGATGGCCGCTGTAGGACCAAGAAGGATGAATGGGGAGGGGCAAAGACCTTTTATTAGGTTTTGTATTATTTACCTGGATATAATCCCAGGAGGGTTTTTTTCCCCCAATTAGCTACACATTTTAATAATGCAATTTTATAAGAATATTAGGGGGCAGTTGGGTGGCTCAGTCAGTTGAGCATCACTCTTGATTTTTGCTCAGGCCAACGTCCCAGGGATTTGGGATCGAGCCTGTGTCAGCTCTGCACTGAGAGTGAAACCTGCTTAAGATTCTCTGCCTCTCCCCCTGTCCCTGCCTCCCACTTGTGTGTCCTCTCTCTCTAATTAATTAATTAAGTATATTGGGGAATTTTCAAACTTCATATTCATGCCTAAACAACAGAAGGTAAAAGAAAAAGATGGTGAAGAAAACATTTTGCAGAACAAATTTAAACATACTCCTTATTAATATTAAAGATCAAGGTTGTCAAGGAGAACTGTGGATGAGACAGATTTCATCACCAGACTTTGTTCTTTTTTTTTTTTTTTTAATTTTTTTTTTCAACGTTTATTTATTTTTGGGACAGAGAGAGACAGAGCATGAACGGGGGAGGGGCAGAGAGAGAGGGAGACACAGAATCGGAAACAGGCTCCAGGCTCTGAGCCATCAGCCCAGAGCCTGACGCGGGGCTCGAACTCACGGACCGCGAGATGGTGACCTGGCTGAAGTCGGACGCTCAACCGACTGCGCCACCCAGGCGCCCCTAGACTTTGTTCTTTATCCTCAGTGTGTAATATTGCATGCAACCCATGAACAGTGTCATAGGTGTTCCAAATGTGTCAAAATTATTAGTCCTTAGTGTTTTCTAACTTACAGATTTATTTCCTTTGAAATTTATTAATTTTAAGTTAATTTTATTTACCTGCATCTAACACTAATTTGCAAAGTTTCAATACAGATATTCTGATTCTAGTACTTTTTTAAAAAGTTTCTTAAAGTTTGTTTATTTTTCCATACTCAGTGTGGAGCCCAACCCGGGGCTCAAACCCATGAATCATGAAATCATGCCCTGAACAAAAAATCAAGAGTTGGACTCTTAGCTGACTGAGCCACTCAGGCACTCTCTGATTCTAGCATCTTGCTAGAAAAATGATAGGACTGATTTTGAGATTCAATTCATTCTAACCTCCCTTAAAGTGAACGATCTACAAAAGGTTTGTAGTTGGGAAATACTGTATCATTTCTGAATGTATTTTAATATCAGGCTATAACTTAATAAAAAAAAATCCTGACATCATAACAAGTCTAAAAATACCTTAAGTAACTGATCTAAATAGTGTATCATAACCCTTTTCCACAATCATATTGTGTGGTGGGGGCTACATATACAGCTGGAAAAAGAAGGTAGTAGTTAGCATGAGGAAGATTGTGGTCTTTCCCAACCAAGTCAGTCAGGAGTAAACATTCAGTTTTATAGAAAAGAGTCTGACTCTACTCTTGATGGCCAATGATACCTGTGAAGCGTCATTACCTCTTACTATTCTGCTCATCTGGGCAGGGCAAGCTAATAATAAAGCCCAAGAGGCCCTTCCCTTGGCAGTAGTTCTAAGTTCACAGTGTCAATGAGTACCATCACCCCGGCCCCACACAGGATGCATCGTAACAAAGTAGTCACCATTGCCTGCTTTCTCTAGCCATTTTCAGAACTTGAGAAGTCTGCCCTGCTCTCCCGAGAAAGCGTCATTATATAACCAACATTCTCCGAACACTTGAGTGAACGGAGTCATCATTCTTGACATCCGAACATCCTGTCCCAGTGGAGTAAGCACAAATGCAAACAAAAGCAAAAAATGTTTTAGAGGGTAAATATGTGAGATTTCTAGTTACCAAACAAGATTCCCATCGTGTTGTTCATTCTTGAGAGTAAACTCATGAAGATTTATCTTTTCAAATTATTCCCTGAGCACTCCAGCACAAAATATAGATTGTGTTACCTTTATCCTTACTCCTCAAATTTTCCTTCAGTTCCTTACTTTTCATATGCTTCCTCTTTTTCTAATTTCATTTAATGTAAATTTCACGTAATGCAAACCATGGGTCTCATTTCAGCACAAAAGGCAGGCAGAAATAGAATCATGGTCTGTATTCATGAATGGGGATGCAAATTGTGATGGGTGAGAGTTTGAAACTGCATTGCTATGGTATTTTCATTATAACCACAAAAATACTTGGGATGTGCTATGGGTGGGTAACTCTGAAATTCAACATATATTTCCAAAACTGTAGGTTTGAATATAACACGAAAAAAAATTGTTATGGATGACATTCAACCTAAGAGTCTAAGGATGTTTTATTAGTGTTCATTATGAAATGCCCCAAAGAAGTGTGATGCACCTGGGATAATAAAAGGAACAGGATTCATTCAGGGTTACATAAAAGCTTATATTTTACTTACTTAGATATGGGAAATAGGGTACCCTAAATAAAATGGTATGAAAATGCATTTTAAGTGGCCAGATTTGGGTCTTTCACAAGCATACTCTTTTGGGTTATTTATTTACTTATTATTTTTTAGAAAGAGCATGAGTAGGCAAGAGGGACAGAGAGAGAGAGAGAAAATTGTAAGCAGATTCTACACTCAAGAGGAAAGCCCAACATAGAGGTTGATCCCATGACCGTGAGCAGAAATTGAGGCAGATACTAAACATACTGATCCACCTATGTGCCCTACTTTGGTTCTTTTGATTTAAATGTCCTCTAGAACTTTCTCTTCAGTTTCCAAAATTAAGACTAATTTTTACTCATCCATGATATATAATAGCTATTACGTTTCAAAAGAGGGAGAGACCATCATTCCCCCTCCATTTTCTCTAACATAAATACCATCCTTAATAACCCCTCATTCACACATGAAAATATCATTGTCTCAATGTCTCAGTCTAGTGTTTCACGACCACATATTTGATAGCATAACCCTTTCATATAGTTATCAACCAAGGCTCTCAATCATACCAACAAATCCAGAGAAGGGGCTGTGACCACAGAAAACATGGTAATTTACATAATAGCTTTTAGATTTATTCCTGGTCACTCCTTATGCTCCAAAATATATACTATTCTAGACCTTAAAACCAGCATCTTAGTTTTTCCAGGGTATATAGGTATGACTAAGCCCCACCTAATAAAAGAGGTTCCTTTCATACTTTCTCTGAGACCACCACGATGGTTGACAAATGAAACACATGTAATGAAAGTATAACATCAGTGGATTCCAAACTTATTGTAAGTTATCAGTAATAATGTAGTATCAAGAAACCTTAAATAACTGAGTGAAAAAACGTCATAGAGGTTCCTGGCTGGCTCAGTTGGAAAAGCATGACTCTTGCTCTCAGGGTTGTGACTTTGAGCCCCACGTTGGGTGTAGAGGTAAATAAAATCTTTACAAAATATCTAAACAGAAGATGATTAGGTCTTTCCACAGATCTACTTGCTCCACTGACATACATTATCTCATGAGTTTTAAATAATTTTTGTTTTCTGTGGAATTTAATACCTAAGAATAGTTAATCCTCAAAACAGACCTAGTTCCCTCTAGTGTGAACTCTTTAATTGCAATCTACTGAGAGAACTGGCTAAAGAAATTATCGCCTTCATTACATGTGTAATGTTTCTGTCCAGGATAAATTCTTAGGTGCTTCCTGAGGTAAAGACCTTGACATATTTGTATGGCTTCCATGTTATGTGAATGTTTTCAAGACCACAAAGCAGAGTTGTACATTTTTTTTTATAACTGCAAGTCAGTACCTCTTAATCCCATTCATCTATTTTACCCCCCTCCCCAATGTATACATTTTTTAAACCTGATCACACTCATTACATTTGTAAGAATTCTCTGGTAAAATTTATGTTCCACAAGGTGTAACAAGCTTTGGATAAGCCTTGCCATACATTTCTTCAGTGTGCTTCCTTTCAGAGATTTGTATTCTGATATCAGGTGAAGTGTGAACCCTGGTTACTAGCTTTCCCAAATATGTTAGTTTCATATGGTTCCTCTCCATGATGGAATCTCTGATGTTAAGTAAGTGTTGAATACTTGCTCATATTATTTGCAAGGTTTCTTTCTCCTACGAGTTCTTTGATGATCTCCAAAGCTTGAGCTTTGAATAAAAGCACTGCAACACATATTAGGTTTATACTGTTTCCTTTCATTATGTATTTTCTGATGCCTGGTAAGTTTTGCAAATTGGGTAAAAGCTTTGTCACACTCATTACACTTATAAGGTTTCTCCCCAGTATGGATTTTCTTATGCTGAGTAAGATGTGAACGCTCCGTAAATGCTTTGCCACACTCAATACATTTGTATGGTTTCTCTCCAGTATGAGTTCTCTCATGACCCCAAAGGTGAGAACGTTTGATAAAAGCCTTATCACATTTATTACATCTATAAGGTTTTTCTCCTGTATGAATTCTCTGATGTTCCATAAGGCTTGAACTTTGGATAAAAGCCTTGCCACACACATTACATTTGTGTGGTTTCTCTCCAGTGTGTATTTTCTGATGCCTAGTAAGGTTTGCAAATTGGGTAAACGCTTTGCCACACTCATTACATTTATAAGGTTTCTCTCCAGTATGGATTTTTCTATGCTGAGTAAGATTTGAGCGCTCAGCAAAGGCTTTGCCACACTCACTACATTTGTAAGGTTTCTCTCCAGTATGAGTTCGTTCATGACCCCAGAGGTGTGAACGTCTGATAAAAGCTTTATCACATTTATTACATTTATACGGTTTTTCTCCTGTATGAATCCTCTGATGTTCTACAAGGCTAGAACTCTGGATAAAAGCCTTGCCACATACATCACATTTGTGTGGCTTCTCTCCAGGATGTGTATTCTGATGTCTAATGAGGTGAGAGCACTGTTTAAAAGCTTTGCCACACTCATTACATTTGTAAGGTTTCTCTCCAGTATGGATTTTTTTATGTTGAGTAAGGCTTGAACGCTCAGCAAAGGCTTTGCTGCATTCATTACATTTGTAAGGTTTCTCCCCAGTATGAATTCTCTCATGACTCCAAAGGTGTGAACGTTGGATAAAAGCCTTACCACATTCATTACATTTGTAAGGTTTCTCCCCAGTATGCATTCTCTGATGATTTGCAAGGTTTGAATTTTGACTACAGACCTTGCCACATATGTTACATTTATATGGTTTCTCTCCTGTATGGATTCTTTGATGCCTAGTGAGGTTCGAACATTGGTTAAACGCTTTGCCACACTCATCACATTTATAAGGTTTCTCTCCAGTATGGATTTTCTTATGTTGAGTAAGATGTGAGTGCTCCGTAAAGGCTTTGCCACAGTCATTACATTTATAAGGTCTCTGTCCAGAATGAATTCTTTCATGACTCATGAGGTTTGAGCTTTTGCTAAAAACCTTCCCACATTCATTACATTTGTAAGATTTTCCCCTAGTGTGTGCTTTCCTGTCCTGTGCAGGTAACAAACGATATTTAAAAATCTTCCTAGACTTATTCCAAATGTTTTGGGTCCTGGGAGGAATTCTTTCAAGTGGTGAGACTGAGGAACCATTGCTGACAGACTTCTCAGTTGGATTACATTCATACATTTTCTCCTCACTATGAAATGTCTGCAGTTCAGCCAGGTGTGCCTGTAAACTTAATCCAATTCTATTTTCCAAGCAGTCTATGTACTGGTTTCCAGCACCACTTCTATTATTGTCCATTTTTAATACATTCCTTACAAATGGCTCATAATCCATGAAATACAGGTATGTATTATTTCTTACAGAAGCACACTGCTTTTGAGGAAGAGTAACTGAGAGCTGATTAAGTTTTTGATCTTTTCTCCATGTGACATTTTTGTTATGGGTCAAAGGCACTTCTTTGTAATTTCTTGCATCATAGCCCCAGTGATTTTCAAACTCATGCCTATTTTCCCAGACTTCCTTGAGATCAAAATCCTTGATGTCATGACTTTCATTTCTCTCCAATATCACTAAGTGACAAAATTCTCCTTTATTAATGTCCTGTATTGGTGATAATTCCTTGATTGCAAATCCAGCAGAACTCCCTATCAAATAGAATTGGAAGGTAAATATTTTATACTAAATTCCATAATTAACACCAAAATATTATTTTATAATGAATACAGGAAGTTTCTCAAGCATAGACTTCAAACACTATTGTTATTTACAATGTTTTTAAGTTTTCTTTCTATAAATGTGGGGACAGTGCTTGTAGTTGCACATCTATGGGAATATGATTGTGTTATAAGTTTAAAGCCTGATGTTAGAAAAAGGAACTGATTTAGCAACAGGCATAATAGTGACTCATTCTGTAAGAACTTATACTACGGGTATGAAGTAACAGTAGAAAACATTCAACAGGGAGACAGTATGGTATTATAAGAAGACTGTAGGCTTACATCTATTTCAGTATTTGCTCTAAAAATTATCAAACTAAATATCCCACGAATTCCTTTTCCAGGTATATAA